AAAAAAAAAAAAAATCCAGGAGGTCGTGGTGCCATGTATAGCTGTATGTAGACCGCAACGATACAGCGATTTGTGAGAAATATGTGTTTATGAGTACAAGAATATGTGAGAGATGTGTGTGGGTGAGTACAGGAATGTGTGAGAGATGTGTGTGTGTGTAAGTACAGGAATTTGTGAGAAATGTGTGTTTGTGCGAGTAAATACAGTAGCATGCAGAAATATGGTTTATGAGGTCAGGAATGTGTGAGAGGTGTGTGTGAGTACAGGAGTGTGTGAGAAATGTGTGTTTGTTTATGAACAGTAATTTGCAGAAATATGTGTTTTTGAGTACAGGAATGTGTGATTGTATATGTGTAAGATTACAGGAATGTAAGAGAATAAGTGTTTATGAGTACAGGAATGTATATACGCGCGTGTGTTTTAACAAAGGAGTGGCGTCTACAGATGTAAGTGCGTGTGTGTATGTGAGGTAGAGCTGTAGGAACGTATACGTGCAGACACGTGTGCAGCCTGGCAAACAGCCAGGCCTAGTGTCGGCTGCTGTAGGAATTACCTGAGCTGTGTTAACACATCTCCTTCCTAGATCAGTGGATCTTCTTCTCGATCTCACTCTGTACCCCTTTCACTCTCTGCGCCACTCGCTCTCCGTCCAAATCTATTTAACTACCCCTCTCTCAGACTCTCTAATCCACTCCACTGTACCCCCTTGCCCACTATTTCTCTGAACCTCTCTCTCTCTATGCCTGGCCGTTTTTCTCTATACGTCCGTGTGTACTTCCCTCTCTCTATTTCACACCCACCCCTTCCCCAGTGTTCAGCTAAAGCGCGTATGGTCAGGCCAGCAGAAAACACCTGCTACCGATTGCTGCTGCTCAAGTGTTGTACTAGAGCTGGCTTGTGCTGCATGCAAGTCTCGACCAGCTCAACATGGTGTCTGTCTGTTGACTTGTGGTAGATGGTGTCTTTCTGTACTAGATTGTGTCTTTCTGTCGACTTGCAATAGATAGTGTCTTCCTGTCGACTTGTAGTAGATGACTTTATGTCGACTTCTAGCTAGTAGATGGTGTCTTTCTGACAATTTGTACTAGTGTCTTTCTGTCGGCTTGTAGTAGATGGTGTCTTTCGAATTGTAGTAGATTGCATCATTCTGTTGACTGAGATGTCAGCAGTGAGATATCAATACAGTTGTCAACATTGAGGTGTCTGCAGATTGTCAACAAAACTTTAAATGAACGAGCACAGACAAGATGGAGCCATCGAGCTGTAAACAGAAAGCTTTAACTCAGCAAAATATGAGCAGTTCTTGCGCTGGTGAAATGCAGACCAATAAAGAACATCAGAGAAAAAGAATTTCACTAATTAAGTACTTTAGAGAGGAAGAATCTCACCAATGAAGCACATCAGAGAAGAAAAATCTCACCAGTGAAGCACATCAGAAAAGAAAAATCACCAGTAGAGCACATCAGAGAAGAAGAATTTCACCAGTGAAGCACTTCAGAGAGAAAGAATCTCACCAGTGAAGCACATCAGAGAGAAAGAATCTCACCAGTGAAGCACATCAGAGAGAAAGAATCTCACCAATGAAGCACATCAGAGAAGAAGAATCTCACAAGTGAAGGACATCAGAGAAGAAACATCTCACTAGTGAAGGACATCAGAGAGAAAGAATCTCACCAGTGAAGCACATCAGAGAGAAAGAATCTCACCAGTGAAGCACATCAGAAAAGAAAAATCACCAGTAGAGCACATCAGAGAAGAAGAATTTCACCAGTGAACCACATCAGAGAAGAAGAATTTCACCAGTGAAGCACATCAGAGAAGAAGAATTTCACCAGTGAAGCACATCAGAGAAGAAGAATTTCACCAGTAGAGCACATCAGAGAAGAAGAATTTCACCAGTGAAGCACATCAGAGAAGAAGAATTTCACCAGTGAAGCACATCAGAGAAGAAGAATTTCACCAGTGAAGCACATCAGAGAAGAAGAATCTCACAAGTGAAGCACATCAGAGAAGAAGAATCTCACCAGTGAAGCACATCAGAGAAGAAGAATCTCACCAGTAAAGCACATCAGAGAAGAAGAATCTCACCAGTGAAGCACATCAGAGAAGAAGAATCTCACCAGTAAAGCACATCAGAGAGGAAGAATTTCACCAGTGAAGCACATCAGAGAAGAAGAATTTCACCAGTGAAGCACATCAGAGAAGAAGAATTTCACCAGTGAAGCACATCAGAGAGAAAGAATCTCACCAGTGAAGCACATCAGAGAGAAAGAATCTCACCAGTGAAGCACATCAGAAAAGAAAAATCACCAGTAGAGCACATCAGAGAAGAAGAATTTCACCAGTGAAGCACATCAGAGAAGAAGAATTTCACCAGTGAAGTACATCAGAGAAGAAGAATTTCACCAGTGAAGCACATCAGAGAAGAAGAATTTCACCCGTGAAGCACATCAGAGAAGAAGAATTTCACCAGTGAAGCACATCAGAGAAGAAGAATTTCACCAGTGAAGCACATCAGAGAAGAAGAATTTCACCAGTAAAGCACATCAGAGAAGAAGAATCTCACAAGTGAAGCACATCAGAGAAGAAGAATCTCACCAGTGAAGCACATCAGAGAAGAAGAATCTCACCAGTAAAGCACATCAGAGAAGAAGAATCTCACCAGTGAAGCACATCAGAGAAGAAGAATCTCACCAGTAAAGCACATCAGAGAAGAAGAATTTCACCAGTGAAGCACATCAGAGAAGAAGAATTTCACCAGTGAAGCACATCAGAGAGAAAGAATCTCACCAGTGAAGCACATCAGTGAAGAAGAATTTCACCAGTGAAGCACATCAGAGAGAAAGAATCTCACCAGTGAAGCACATCAGAGAGAAAGAATCTCACCAGTGAAGCACATCAGAGAGAAAGAATCTCACCAGTGAAGCACATCAGAGAGAAAGAATCTCACCAGTGAAGCACATCAGAGAAGAAGAATTTCACCAGTGAAGCACATCAGAGAGAAAGAATCTCACCAGTAAAGCACATCAGAGAAGAAGAATTTCACCAGTGAAGCACATCAGAGAAGAAGAATCTCACCAGTAAAGCACATCAGAGAAGAAGAATCTCACCAGTGAAGCACATCAGAGAAGAAGAATCTCACAAGTGAAGCACATCAGAGAAGAAGAATCTCACAAGTGAAGCACATCAGAGAAGAAGAATCTCACAAGTGAAGCACATCAGAGAGGAGGAATCTCACCAGTGAAGCACATCTGAGTTGAAGAATTTCACCAGTGAAGCACATCAGAGAGGAGGAATCTCACCAGTGAAGCACATCGTAGAGGAAGAATCTCATGAAGATAAGATTTAAACTGAAGGAAAACATTAAAAAGATGAGGTTCAGTCCAGTGATCACCATCCACTGGCAGGAGAACACCAGAGTCTAACACGGCAGCATCCACAACAGTCTGCGCTAAAACATCAGGGAGACATCCACTTAGCAGCTTTATTCTAGTATATAAATACATACATCCAGGAGACATCCACTTAGCAGCTTTATTCTAGTATATAAATACATACATCCAGGAGACATCCACTTAGCAGCTTTATTCTAGTATATAAATACATACATCCAGGAGACATCCACTTAGCAGCTTTATTCTAGTAATCTTAGTTTCAGCTTCATAGCAAACGGGTCACCCTTAGTTGCTCCGCTCCTGTGCCAACAAAAAAAAAAACACAGAATGTTATCACAGTCCCTTGTGGAAAGATTGACAGACTGCTGTCTCAGCATTTGCACTAGCATACACACGCATTAAAAGCATACGGTAGCCATCCAAAGTGCTAACACAAATAGTCTGACATTAGAAATGCAGTTCATTATGGATGGTAGCAGAAGTCACCAACAGATCAGCTATTCTGGTATATGAACACATACATCCAAGAGACATCAATTTGTCAGATTTATTTCTGGTATATAAATACATATATCATTGAGACATCCATTTATCAGCTTTATTCTGGTATATAAATACATACATCCAGGAGGCATCCATTTATCAGCTTTTTTCTGGTATATAAATACATATAACATTGAGACATCCATCTATGAGCTTTATTCTGGTATATTTATACATACATCAATGAGACATCCATTTATCAGCTTTATTCTTGTAAATAAATACATCCCTCCAAGAAACATCAATTTTTCGGCTTCATTCTCGTATACAAATACGTACATCTTGGTGACATCCATTTATTTGCATTATTCTCAAGTACAAATGCAGGCAACATAATGAAAACATCAATTTTTATGCTTTATTCTGGTAAATAAATATATACACCATGGAGACATCCATTTGTCAGCTTTAGTCTTGCATAAAAAACAAACACATCATGGAGACACCCATTTAAAAGCTTTATTCTGGTATACACATATTTACATCATGGAGACATCCGTTTATCAGCTTTATTCTGGTATATAAAAAAATACATCTTGATGACATACATTTATCTGCTTCAGCCTTGAGTACATATGCATGCAACATAATGAAAACATCCCTTTATCTGCTTTAGTCTGACGCCCTCAGAATAATAAATAAGGACTGTACACGACGTCTGTGTCTCAGTCTAAGACTGTAGAGGTTGTCTGTTTCTTAGTCTAAGAATGGACACGTTGTCTACATCTCAGTCTGAGACCATACAGGTTGTCCATGTCTAAGACTATACAGGTCATCTACATCTCAGTCTAAGACCGTACAGGTCATCTACATCTCAGTCTAAGACCGTACAGGTTGTCCATGTCTAAGACTGTACAGGTTGTCCATGTCTAAGACCGTACAGGTCATCTACATCTCAGTCTAAGACCGAACAGGTCATCTACATCTCAGTCTGAGACCGTACAGGTTGTCCATTTCTAAGATCATACAGGTCATCTACATTTCAGTCTGAGACCATCCAGGTTGTCCATGTCTAAAACCGTACAGGTTGTCCATGTCTAAGACCGTACAGGTTGTCCATGTCTAAGACCGTACAGGTCGTCTATGCCTGAGTCTAAAACTGTACAAGCCAGGAGCTATAATGTTCAATAGCTGATGGACTATGACTGCAGTCAGACCCCATATTCTGTGGGATCCACCCAGGTAAACTGGCAGTGTGTAGCCAGACCCCTCTCGGAACTGGGTGGATCTGATGTTGGTGCTGTCACACAAATGTCGCAGCGAGACACAAAAAGCTTCTTCGACTTCATCATGGTTGACGTTTAAACTGGCAACATCAATCTCACCAGTCTGTGCCAGGATAGGGTACACAAGCTTCCGTCCACCCTGAAGATACATACAGATGTCATGTTGAAAGCATGTGAATGATATAGAAGATATTAAGATGACAAACAGGTGACATGAAGATGGCATTCAGATGATATATGGAAGACAGAGGGTACACATAGATGACAGATAGTAGATGCAGAAGTCACAGAGATAGCACAGAAGATTTATACAACAGGATTGGCAAGCCAAATTCACCCTTTTGCAAAAAAAATTTACCCTTTTTCAAACCAAATTTACCTTTTTACAAACCAAATTTACTCTTCTGCAAATCAGATTCACACTTAGGCAGAACAAATTTATACGGACAGGTCAAACTTTATTATTTCTTCCACAATACTCTCCTATGATAAACCCAACTGAAGACATTTAAAAACAAATATAAAATGACATTCAATGCAATCATTATTAGCTGACTGACTAGACTAAGATCATATAGTAGCTTTCATTCATAATTCTGTTGCAATTTATACTCTAACAGGTATATCTAGTCTGACACAAGTATATCTAGTCTGACACAAGTATATCTAGTCTGACACAAGTATTTCTAGTCTGACACAAGTATTTCTAGTCTGACACAAGTATTTCTAGTCTGACACAAGTATTTCTAGTCTGACACAAGTATTTTTAGTCTGACACAAGTATTTCTTGTCTAACACAAGTATTTCTAGTCTGACACAAGTATAACTAGTCTGACACAAGTATTTCTAGTCTGACACAAGTATTTCTAGTCTGACACAAGTATAACTAGTCTGACACAAGTATTTCTAGTCTGACACAAGTATTTCTAGTCTGACACAAGTATTTCTAGTCTTCTTCTTCTTCTTCTTTCGTTCGCCTGAAATAAGTTGTCTATATCAGCAATTTTGTCTCTTGTATAAATTTCACTGTTGTTGTTAATTCATTCAGTGGTCCATAGAGTTTACGTTCCACTGTTGTTGTTTCTGGCCAAAAGGTTTGCCTTAATGTGTCAAATTCGGTGCAGTCCTGGAGTACATGCTCTGCTGTCTGGGGCACCTTTCCACAGGTGCACATGGCTGATACACATATCTTGAATTTTGTGTACATGTGGTTATGTAATTGGTTGTGTCCTGTTCTGAGGCGGAGGATAATGACTTGTTCTGATCTGTCCATAATAAAATAGTCATCTTGTGCTGGGGCTGGTGGTTTCCTGATCGATTTAATGATTCTTTTCTTTTGTATGTGACTGGTACATCTGGCTGCACTTGTGTCGCACCTTCTCCTGCCAGTTGATCAGCTTTCTCATTTCCAGGCACTCCACAATGTGATGGTATCCACTGCATTACAACTCTTCACTGAAGGCTAAGTTATGTCAACAGTGTTTGCAATTCTGGTAGTTTCCTAGACTGGAGTGCTTCAAGTACTGATTTTGCATCTGTCAGCATTACCACATACTGTGAGCCAAGATTGGTATTTAGCAGTTTCTCTGTTGCTATCTTAATAGCCTGAGTTTCTGCATCATAGTTATGGCAGTACTTTCTGGTTGGTATGCTGGACTTATCCCTAGTACCATCTGGAAATTCTACGTACACTCCAGCACCACCATTTCTAACTGCACTGTCTGTGGACCCATCTGTATAGGCTCTGACCCATTGTTCTTGTGGGTATTCTTCATCAATATAACTGAGGGTGGCCATTCTGCGGTGTACACTATCTTGTTCTTTCTTGTCAAATATTCCTTTCACATTTGTCTGGATTTGTACTGTTAGTTTGCATTTCTCTCTCCATGGGGTTTGTTCTGGAATACTGTTAAGTGGACAACAAATTTCTGGAAGGTCAGTAGCTTGTCTACATATTCTTTTTGCTTCATGTATAAAGCTGCTTATTTTTAACCGTCCCAAGACTAGGTTCTGAAATCTTTTTTTCATGGGGTGATCTGGCATACTGAGGAACTTTTCAGCTTGTATTTGCAACTTTGTATCTTTGCGTTCTCTCAGTGACTGTGTTTTCCCAGCTTTCTCCATTTCTAATATGGGGGCTGATTTCATCGCTCTTGTGATGACTCTGAGTGCTTGATTTTGCACTTTGTCCAACTCCTTTAATGTGGTACTAGATGCTGAACACCATGCAGTTGACCCATATTCCAAGTGTGGTTGTATGGTCTGCTTGTATACTTTATGGAGTATTTTCCCACTGGTTACCCATGTGGTTCCACTTAGTTTTCTTAGTATGGCTGTCTTCCTCCTGGCTTTGGTTGCTGCCTTGTTGATATGTTTTCTCCATGTCAACCTGTCATCAAATGTGACTCCGAGGTATGTGGGCTCTTTATCATCTCTTAGGGGTATTCCATTTATTTTGATGATGCCCGCTTTTTGCTTTAGAGAGAGAGTAAAGAGTGTGGTGCTACATTTGTCTGTATTGATGCTGACTCACCATCTATTGGCCCATGCCTAGTGCATATGTAGCCCGCTGTAGTGTTCTTGTGGCTATCGTTGCATGTTCATTGGTGCACCACAGTACCAGGTCATCGGCATACATTGCCATTTTGATTCCATTTGGTATTTCAGCAACCAGGTCGTTGATGAATAAGAGGAAAAGTGTGGGCCAGGACACCACCTTGTGGGACGCCATGTCGCAGTAGAACTTTTTTACTTTTAAAACCATCTACCTGTACCCGAACTCTTCTGTTATGTATATATGCTTTAATCCAATTGTACATTCTTCCATTTACTTTATAGTTTCTCAATTTCTTCAAAAGCCCCTCCTTCCAAACCTTATCAAAAGCTTTCCTTAAATCTGTATATGCCATGAGTACCAGTTTCCTATCTTGAAAAGCATCCTCTATTTCTTGGGAGAGGTATGTTGGCTGGTCTTCCGAAGAGTAGAACTTTCTAAAGCCTGCCTGCTGTGGTGTAATGATGTTTTCACTTTCAATGTACCACTGTAGTCTGAGGTTGGTGATGCGCTCCATTGTTTTGCAGAGTCAGCTTGTGAGGCTGATCGGTCTGTAGTTGGAGGCATGGGAACTGTCTTTCCCAGGCTTTATGAGGGGTATCATAATTGCCTCTCTCCAGATCTGTGGAACATTTCCTGTTGCCCAGCAAGCATTAAATATCTGTAAAAGCTTTATTTTGGCCACTGTTCCTATGTTTTTGATCATTTCATTAGATATACCATCTGGTGACTTCCGCATTTTCAGCTTTGAAATGGCCAATTCCAGTTCATTAAGTGTAAGTGACACCTCTAGCGCCTCTGATGTTATTTCTTTCTGACTTCTGAATAGTGTCTTTTCTTGAATTTCTTGTTTTTTCTCTGAACTGATTTAAATGTCATTATCCCTGCCTCTTTTCCTGTTACCATCTTTCAGCAGCGTGATCTTTGAGTTCCTCCCTCTGTCCTCATCAATAATTTGTTTTACAAGCTTCCATAACTTTCTTGTGTCTTTTTCAAAGTTCAGTGACCTTGTTTTCTCCTGCCAGCTTTCCCTTCTAACCTGCAGCTTTGCCCTAACAAATGTTGCTTTTGCATGCTGTTAGTTATTGTGATGTTCTTGGTTTGGCTTGGTCTCTGCTTTCTTTCTAGATGTTTCCACTTCGTTATGTAAATTTTCTAGTTCACTATTCCAGTATGGCTTATAATGCTTACGGGCACCTCTTGGTATTGCTGGCCACAAACCCCAGCGGAAAGTCTTGGTTGATCCCCATTTCTAGACTCTGGCTTTGTTCAAGGACCTGAGTTTTGCGTGTGCACCCCTTTTACAGATCTTGCCTAAATGTATGCAGACTGCTGGTTCCTTGTCTCTCATGCAGATTCACTCTGAACTTGAAGGAATCCCCTAGTCGCCTCATTCAACATGCTTGTTAGAGAGGTAGTGGGTCTATTCTCCCCCCCTCCCCCAACCACAATGGAGTCTTGGAACCTACACAGGAAACAATGGAATCCTGGAACCTACACAGGGAACAAAAGGACACTGGAACCCACATGGGGAACAATGGGATCCTGGAACTCACGTGGAAAACAATGGGAAACTGGAATCACACAGGGGACATTCAGGTCACAAACAGAAGTCGGACATGAGATATACAGAAGATGTAAACATGACACAGATGACATCTGGCATAATGAAGATAGAGATGAACCTGCAGATGACACACATATGACACATAGAAGAGATGTAGTTCAGTGAGAAAGTATACACACAAAATGGTAGAATCATGTGTGCACTCATAACATACACATACGCACAACAAAATACACACATATACACCAGATACACTCACTGATCCTGGCAGTGGGTTCATTTGACCCCAGACATCAAAGCTGGCGGGTTCGATCCCCAACTCCTCATGTGTCTCTCTTAGTGCAGTCTGGGTCAAGTCTGTGTCAGTTTTATCCACATTACCACCAGGAAAGCTGAGAACCACACACACAGAGTTGACGGATTCACTCAAATATAGAGTTGATTAATTCGTTCAAATATAGAGTTGATTAATTCACTCAAATATAGAGTTGATTAATTCATTCAAATATAGAGTTGATTTATTCATTCAAATATAGAGTTGATTGATTCATTCAAATATAGAGATTAATTTACTCAATTATAGAGTCAATCTTTTCACTCAAATATAGAATTGATTGATTCACTCAAATATAGAGTTGATTAATTCGTTCTAATATAGAGTTGATTTATTCACTCAAATATAGAGTTGATTGATTCACTCAAATAGAGAGTTGATTAATTCACTCAAATATAGAGTTTATTGATTCACTCAAATATAGAGTTTATTGATTCACTCAAATATAGAGTTGATTGATTCAATCAAATTTACAGTTGACTTTTGTACTCACACTATTTTGGGATGCCCTACAGGTAGCTCTACTACCGCCAGCATAGCTCTCGATGTCTGAAAATCTCAAGCTCTGCCAGCATAGCAGCTTGGAGACACCTTTGGGCAGAACTGACACATGACATGTTGAATTTCCTATACCAAATTTGAAAGACTAGTCAATTAAGCACAGAGTTTAACAACAACAAAATGTAAATGATGGTAAGTTTAAAAATGAGAGCTGTCAGTAGCTGTGGGGGTGGAGAGAGCACAGTCATGTGACTGTTGGGGAGGGAAGTACAGTCATGTAACTGTTTAAAGGGGGGAAGGGGGGGGGGAGGGGGGTAGGGTGAGGTGGGAAAGCACAGTCATGTAACTGTGGGGGAGGTGTAGCACAGTCATGTAACTGTTGAGGTTGGGGGGCAGGGGAAGTACAGTCATGTAACTGTTGAGGTTGGGGGGCAGGGGAAGTACAGTCATGTAACTGTTGGGAGGGGGGGGGGGGAGGTACAGTCATGTATCTTACCTTACCTGACCCCGATGCTTCCTCAGCTGTGATGAACGTAAAGTAAACAGCAGCGACGGTTGGCCATGGACCAGACACAGCGGCACAAGTACAGCTGCAGCAGTGTGGTCTGGTTTCAGTGGATACTCTTTCACATTTCTCACTGGCAGTTCACAGGTCAGCTTCTGCTGGGCTCTCTGCTTGTTAGCATCTGTGTTACAGACAAGCAGGAGGATACAGCAACACAATACAACAGGTTAGGTCCTGATGTGACCAACACAACACAACAGGTAAGGTCCTGATGTGACCAACACAATACAACAGGTTAGCTCTTGATGTCATCAACACAACACAACAGTTCAGGTCCTGATGTGACCAACACAATACAACAGGTAAGGTCCTGAGTTGACCAACACAACACATCAGGTCAGGTCCTGATGTGACCAACACAATACAACAGGTCAGGTCCTGATGTGACCAACACAACACATCAGGTCAGGTCCTGATGTGACCAACACAACACAACAGGTCAGGTCCTGATGTGACCAACACAACACAACAGGTAAGGTCCTGAGTTGACCAACACAACACATCAGGTCAGGTCCTGATGTGACCAACACAACACAGCAGGTAAGGTCCTGATGTGACCAACACAACACAACAGGTTAGCTCTTGATGTCATCAACACAACACAATAGTTCAGGTCCTGATGTGACCAACACAACACAACAGGTCAGGTCCTGATGTGACTATTTCGAAACTTCAGGTAAGACATTGATGTGATTAACACAACACAATATAACACAATAAAACAACAGGTGAGGCCTTGATATAACCAACACAACAGCAACATAAAACAACACAACAGATTACAGACCAACAGTTCAACAATGTATCAGTTAGTGTTTGTCTCCTGGGACACTTAGCACTCTTTCATGGTACACCTAGCCCTCTCTCATGGGACACCTAGCACTTTCTCATGGGACACCTACCACTCTCCCATGGGACACCTACCACTCTCCCATGGGACATCTAACCCTCTTGGATCGCCTAGCACTCTTGAATCACCTAGTACTCTTGGATCACCTAGCACTCTCTCATGGGACACCTAGCACTATCTCATGGGACACCTAGCACTCTTGGATCACCAAACCCTTTTGGATCACCGAACCGTCTTGGATGGCCTAGCACTCTCTCATGGAATAATTATTAAATGTTGAATACTGAATTAGGAATTGACATCATAGCACTCTGGGCACTTCCTAAGCGCTCCGTCCCCATCTTCAGCAGCAAGAGTTCCAATTCCAATGGCAATAGTAACTGTCTGGCTGTATATCCAAATTGCAGTACCCTTGAGTGTTGGCCAGATCTCCTGTTAATTCCTCGCAGCACCATTCTCCTCAGACCGTAATGATCTGTATGTACTTCTGCACTGTTCACTAGCTCCCAAAGGGCCCCCACAACATCTAGCTTGTCATACATCACTTCCCCACCATGTGATGCTGAACCGGCCAGTCTATCTGCCTGCTCATTTCCCTACACACCGGCATGCCCAGGAGAGAATATACAAAGGATACTAACTACCAGGGACCTCTGAAGTGATGCTTATCACTCTGCATGTAGCATACTTGTCTCCACCTTTCTCAACATGCTCTGTGAGTCAGTGACATCACGGCATGTGTGTCTCTCACATGGGACACCTAGCACTCTCTGATGGGACACCTAGCACTCTCTGATGGGACACCTAGCACTCTCTGATGGACACCTAGCACTCTCTGATGGGACACCTAGCACTCTCTGATGGGACACCTAGCACTCTCCGATGGGACACTTACAACTCTCTCATGGAATACTTACCACTCAAGATATTCTCAAATGTCAGCTGTTGCACAGCCGGAGGTCGGTGAGACTGACTGGTAAACCCTCCTAGCCCAGGCTGATGTGGGCAGTAAGGCGGACCCCTCATCATCATCATCTTAGAGCGGAAGAGAGTCTGCAACAGCAAAGCGGTCATGTCCTGCTGGTTTTACTCTGTGAAGTGAGGAGATATGGTAAACAAGGTCAGCCAGACCAGGGCACTTCAAAGTCACTCATGCGTACAGCAGTTTTCATATGAAGGCACCCAATTTGTAGCCTATGTATGTGTCAACATGTAGCACTGACTGGCCTGTTTCTACTGCATGTTCCACGGGAAAATATGGGTGCCCATGTCACAAATTTATGCCTACTTAAGTAGCACCTGCAAGATTTAGATACATGCATTGCTGCAAAGCAAAAAGAAGTTGTACATGGCAATGTTGGATGAAGTATGGTTACACACGCTAGATATCAGTATTATGCCAGCTATCCTTGTCTATGACTGCACAATATTCTTATTTTGTTGGGCTCTTTCATGATTTTATAATATTGTACTCGGCTATCCACGAAATCAAGTTATTTCTCTAATTCAGTCTGAAACCCTTCAAAATGGCTATAAAAAGGATCAGCCAGAAAAACCGGTAAAACCTCGTTTGGTGGAGACAGACAAATATTCCTGAGAACAGTGACAACAGTAGATCAAGCAAGATTAACGCGAATATTTTCGACTGTACCCAAAGTCATGTGTGTTTTTAACTGCAGATTTAGAAAATAGAGAGTCCCCTGTTGCCAGAGGCTCAGATATAAGTACAATTAGTAGGAGTATCTTGAAGGGGCTGCTGCATCGGAGGACTAACCACGCATGGGAATGCCCAATGTGTATGATACTATGGACGTCGACTGTGATAAAAGTGATAGGCGAATGTAGTGGGGGGGTGGGGGGGTCGAAGAATCTTCATTATGACTGTGGCATTCTGTGGGAGCCCGCTACATGATGATGATAGAAAAGTAATTGTTCTCGTAAGGAGAAGGAGACACAAAACACACAGCAAACCTGAAAAAAAAAAAAAAATAGAAATGGCCGTCAACAGAAAACTTCTCCTCAACCAAATCTCTAGCCACCATTATTCAAGCGAGGTGACGGCCGGTCAGGGGTCAAAGGTGACGGCCTATCACAGGTGAAAGGTTATATTCAAGATACAGCACTTGGGACGTGTCTTTGAGAGCCTCAGTCTTTCCTGGCGGAATTAACCATCGTGTAGTCACAAATGTGTATCTGCTGTCCATACAGTTTCCTGTGATAGTATCTCCGTGTCCACCGAATATGTTAGCTGGACCCCTATATAATCAGACCAAGTTACCGCAATCTCATTACAGCTTCGGTGGCAAAATTAGGTTGACTTACTCAAAGGATGCCAAGTCGGCCCCAGGAAGATATGGTTCGTGCCAAGGTCCGGACTGCGTGTAGAAACACAGGTGAGTCTGTGTAGAGAGATGTGTAACTTCTGTGTGGCGATGTTCTAGTCTATTTGTACTTGTAAATGGAACGCCGGTCGTATAATCGAGCAAACGTTAAAGACTTGACTTACTCCCAGCTTGCACATGTGTCTTTTCTTATGTGTGTGTGTTGACACACAGACATGCATAAGTACACCCCCCCCCACACACACACACATGGGCAACTGCGCGCGTGGGCAACTGCAGATCTGTTGGTGACTTCTGCTACCATCAATGGTAAACTGCATTTCTAATGTCGGACTGTTTGTGTTGGCACTTTGGATGGTTACCGTATGCTTTTGCGAGTGTATGCTAGATATGCTGAGACAGCAGTCTGTCAATCTTTCCACAAGGGACTGTGATAAACATTCTGTGTGTTTTTTCTTGGCACAAGAGCGGAGCAAAGATGGGGTGACCCGTTTGTTGTGACGCTGAAACTAAGACTACCAGACCAGACACACACACACACACATATAAAAGCCTATACATAAGTTGTACACAGACCGGCATAACCATCCACGTTCGTACACATGCACACGCAAACCTATACCTGCGTATACACAGACCTACATAAACCTATACGTGACACACTTTGATAAACCTATACGTCAGTATACACACCCACATAATCCTATTCGTCCGTACACACGACCACATAATCCTTTCCGTGCATACACCACCCACGGAATCCTATAGCGCGTACACACACAAACGGAAACCTAAACGTGCCTAATTAAACATCATACTTATTCAACAACCTATACATGCTTGTACACACACCCACACGCACAAACTTACACACGCGCACACAAGTTTATTGCTCTAGATTGTAAGAAAGGTAAGTTAAAAACGTCAACACACCTCGGAATAATAGCAGAGTTGTCTCTCTTACTACATCAATGTTGCTCTGCTGTCAAGTTTTTTTTCAGCAAGATTTCTTGCTGTGCTAAAGTTGACATGTGTTGTCCATCTCTAGCTGTGCTGAAAGTTGACATGTGTTGCCCATCTCTAGCTGTGCTGAAAGTTGACTTGTGTTGTCCATGTTGGGCTGCGCTGAAAGTTGACCTGTGTTGTCCATCTCTAGCTGTGCTGAAAGTTGACTTGTGTTGTCCATGTCAGACTGTGCTGAAAGTTGACTTGTGTTGTCCATGTCAGACTGTGCTGAAAGTTTACTTGTGTTGTCCATGTCAGGCTGTGCTAGAAGTTGACTTGAGTGGTCCATGTCAGGCTGTGCTAGAAGTTGACTTGAGTGGTCCATGTCAGGCTGTGCTAGAAGTTGACTTGAGTGGTCCATGTCTGGCTGTGCTAGAAGTTGACTTGAGTGGTCCATGTTAGGCTGTGCTAGAAGTTGACTTGAGTGGTCTATGTCAGGCTGTGCTAGAAGTTGACTTGAGTGGTTCATGTCTGACTGTGCTGAAAGTTGACTTGTGTTGTACACCTCTGGCTGGGCTGAAAGTTTATATGTGTTGTACATCTCTGGCTTGGCTGAAAGTTTACTTGCGTTGTCCATCTCTGACTGTGATGAGAGTCTTCCACTTCATTCTTGCCTCCATCGCTGTCGTATGTTAAGTCATTACTGAGGCTCTTACCGTCTGGTGGCCCCTTGACACAGCACAAATCGGACCAACGAAGCTACAGCCCATCGCCATTTCCAACGCCCCCCCCCCCCCCTCCCTATCCCCTCCCATATCGGCTACCCCTTATTAAAGAAAACGACACGTTACTCTCCCGACGTTATTTATTAAGATAGATAACAGCGAAATTAAAGCGCGCGTGCACACACACACGCGGACACACACACACACATAGTCTTTCGGTGCTCTTACAGAATATTTTTTATGTGTGTTTGTAGATACAATTACATTTTAAACGAAAAAAAAATATAGCCTTGCGTGTTATCAAATTAAGATCTGAAGATTTAGGTTGTAGAATGTGTATTTACATCTACGGTCTCGTCAGCTGAATCCGTCGAAGTTCGTCATTCCCCTGTGGGATGCAATTTTTCGTAATTTTGAAACCCCACCCAGGCTCTTGCCAGGGGCCGCAATATAGCCTGACGGCCGAACGCGGTTTCCGGGACCTCTCCACGGGTGATCCTCATCTGCATGATGGCACTTTGTGTCACCGGGTGTTTATCGCTCTGTGTGATGTCCTGGCGGGGCAAAATGTACTACTATTTACATAGAAGATAAAAGTCGTCCCGATGTGGGATGCAATTATTAGTTATTGTAAAGTACCACCCTGGCTTTTGCCGGGGGCCCTAAATATAGCCGAACCCTAAATCTGGCCTAACGGCTGAACAGTTTCCGGGACCTTTCCATTGGTGATCCTCATCCGCATGGTGGCACTTTGTGTCATCAAGTGTTTATAGCTTACGGGTAATAATAACGTTCTATGTCTCTCCACAGATCTTTTCAGTAGTCACAACATGTTCCAGTTTCTCTCTTCTTATAACGTGACCAACAAAATATGACTGTCCCTTTCCTGGTGTGTGTGTAAGTAGTTTTTCATGCAATCGCTTCTTTTAAAACATCTTCTTAGCTGTCCAAGGAATTGTAAGGGTTCTTCTCTAAAACCACATCTCCTAGGCCTCAAGACATTGTGCGACTTGTTTATTAATCGTCTAGAATTTACAGCCGTATTTAAAACTACTTCTCTAGTGTGTGTATATATATATATATATATATATATATATATATATATATATATATATATATATATATATTATATATATATATATATCTCTATATATATATATATATATCTCTCTCTCTCTCTCTATATATATATATATATATATATATATATATATATATATATTATATTATTTATATATATACACACACATACATACATATGTGTATGTGTGGGCGTATGTGTGTATGTATGCATTATATTGTATATATAATATTATATATATATATATATATATATATATATATATATATATATATATATATATATATATATATATATATATATATATATATATATTGGGAACAGGAAGCAACAGTAAGATATGACAACATCTGCTCACCCCAGATAGAGATCAAGAGAGGAGTAAGACAAGGATGTGTGCTGTTGCCTAGCCTTTTCAACCTATGTAAAGAAACCATTTTTAAAGAAATTGTAGAATTACCAGGACTGCACATCAATAGTAGAATAATAAACATGAGATATGCTGACAACACAGTGTTGCTAGCAGAGAGTGAGCAGGAGTTGCAAGACCTAGTGGAGCAAGTAAACAGAAGGAGTGCAGAATTTAGATTAGATATAAATTTGAAAAAGACAAAAACCATGATATTTAGCAAAGAAATTAATCAGCTAACAATGAATATCACAGTGAACGGGGTGAAATTGGAACAAGTTTCAAATTTCTTATATCTTGGACAAGTAATAACATGTGACGGCAGAAGTGAAACAGAAGTCAAGAAAAGAATAGGGATGGCCAAAAACATTTTCAACAACATGCAAAAGTTACTGACATCAAGAGAAATAAGCAATACATTAAAAATGAGAATTGTCAAATGTTATGTATTCTCAACCTTACTGTATGGCACAGAGACATGGATAATGAACAAACAACTGGAACATTGTATCAATTCTTTGGAGATGTGGATATACAGAAGATTAGGTCGTATTTCATGGAAACAAAAGCTA